TTTGGATTTTTTTTTTTTTTTTTTTTTTTTTTTTTTTTTTTTTTTTTTTTTTTTTTTGGAGAGTCTAAAACAGGGTAAAACAGAGTAGGATGCTATATCATTAAGTCTTATTAAAAAACAATTAGAAAAAAGAAACTCACTGCATTTTTTATTTTAGTTGTAATATCACCAGCTTTGACACAAGCAATTCGCAGACATTGCATGATCACACTCTGAAGTACACCCTCTCCTCCTGCTTTTTGAATAGCGCAAACATCGTTATTAGCGTTAAGTGTGACGGTCATTCTCCCCCCCATAACAGCCTCTTCATAGTGAGTTGGATCTATCACCTGCACAGCACCCCATAATTAGACAACCCTGCTATATAACTGAACTCTTTACACAACCTATTTAAAGAATTTGAGCTTACCAGGGTGCTCTCACTACGAAAAAATGCAAAGGTTACTGCGATAGGGAGATGGTGTATGATCAATGGAAGTGGCTCCCTAACCTGTCAAATAGCAACATCCATGTGACACATTCAAGGATATGGGCAACTAGGACAGAAGATAAACCCAAACTCAATTATTTGTTTCACACAAAGAAAAATCTTAAGACAAAGGATTATTAGATAAATGTGGGATTAGATCTCAAAACTAATTGACAATGAGAGCAATAACTAATGTATCTTTAAAAGATTGTGAGATCTCTCCATTTTTCTACTGTGGGATCCTCAACATGACCCCTCAAGATGGTACCTCTTTGAGTTCACCATTCTTGGGTCGGATCCCTTTTTCTTTCTGGACAGAATACTCGTTTGCCTTCATGGGCTCTGATAACATTTGATAAACATGGGGTTCCACCTCAAAACCAATTGAAAATGAGAGAAGTAACTCATGTATCTTTTAAAAATGGTGAGGTCTCCTCATGTGTTCAATGTGGAATCCTCAACAAAAAGAAACATGTGAATGTTAAAGCTGAATGATCAACAATTACAATACATGAAACGGCTGATGTTGATAGAACATATGAAATCTGACTTCAATTATTGAAATTTCAAACAAAAAAGCAAAAAACAAAAGGGAAAATTACCCTCAGCGATGGGGGGCATTGAAATGGGGGTTATGAATTACCCTCAACTGGCGAAAATTTGGTAGAAAATGAACCTTCGTAATTTATAAATTTTTGGTGGGTATGTAGAGCACATCTCTTCTTAGTGGTGTATTCATCGCAGGAAATTCCTTAGTAAAATTATAGTCTTCCAATGATCATGAACATTGGAAAGTACTTCTTAAGTTTATTTGTGGGTGGGGGTACCCTCTTCCAACCATTAAGCTGCTTTTTTCTTCTTTCTAATGTAAACAAGTTTCTGATCAAATAATTATAATAATAGTTACGATTAGATGTGGGATCGTCGTGTTTGTATATAGCAGCATGCATTTAAGTAAATAATGTCACATCAATTGAACAGGATGCACTTCAAGTTAAATTCCAAGAAAAGTTGAAGAACTTACCTCAGGGGGATGAATTATCACTTCCTGACCGTCATCTCCCCCCAGTGAGCATTCAGGTCTTCGAAAAGTCGATAGAGCAGCCAAAGCAGCAATATTAGCTGCATCCACGAGGTTTCTGCTAGCAGGATTGTTAAATACCATGTATTAGCATCATTATAACAATACGCAAAATAAAATAAAATAAATATTCAAAAGCTTACCCCCCATTATCTAAAATGTGGAGATCGACTCGAACGGCCCACACAGACTTGCCTGAAACCACACAAAGTGATTCCATATCCACTGCCCTACTCTCCCTGCATTAATACCTCCAACCTCAGATTACAGTGTATAGCTTGACGTAATAGGTTACTTGTAGACTATGAAGCTAGAGAAAAGCATTGTACTTAATTTCTACTCTGTCTATTAAGCAACTGGATTATATATAGATGCTTAATGTTAACTCCATATAACTAATGGTAACCTCCGAACTAAGCAGTAAAGAACTAACGACCTTAGTTTTCGATGCACAGTTACGCTCGATTTAGGTAGAGACATTATCAGAATATAAGGTGACTTTAGTGAACTTTTTCATTGGGATTCAACAGATTGTTGAAACAATTCAGCAAATGACTAATCACGCATCAATCACAAATATAGATAAAAGCATCAGATCACATCACGGATCAGAAACGAATGAATCAAACACCATTGTTCAACCTCGGATACACCATTTTCACTTAAATCATTAATAAACTAACCTCATATCACCAAAACTTGAGATAACACAGCTTCTACTCACAATTCACACAAAGAATTCAATGCCAGCATATAGAGAAAGCAAATAAACGAATGAAAAAGATAATTACCGCAGACCACGGTCTATTACACGACCGAGCTCGACAGCAGACTCTCCAGGACGGCCAGGCTCAAATGAGGGATCAGCCATAGGAGAGAACTCAGTAAATATAGAAAGAGTGCCCTCATTAGGACGATCCCTATACGGTTGAACTAGCTGAGCAGTCACAAAGCCCATTGCGTGAGTCTGGCCAAGCTGCACCTCTGTAGAACCATCATCTCTGCACAAAAATTCATTCTAATCACCACCCACAAAAATCATACCAGAAAGGGAAAAAAAACACAGTGAGAAACATTACTTGCCAAAGTTGATGGTGAGATTACGGTAATCAAATGGGCGACGACCATCGACCCTCAAATCCGAAAGAAGGGCTGTTTCAATGAATTTCTTCTCGTTGGCAGAGAGACGCCACGCATTAGCTAATCTCTGCTCCATTTAGTACACCCTTTTCCTGAAAATTCAAACTACAACGTCAGAAAGGTATTATATCATGTTAAATCGATGAAGAACAGCACACCACAGACTAAAACAACCCAATAATTGAAAAAACAAGTAAAAACGTTTTATGGGTCTGATTTATTCAGAACTGACCGAAAATGCTGACAACCAGAGAAGCTTCTTCTAAAGACAAGAGGCTGGATGAGGGAGTATTAGCCGCAGTTGCTGCTAGTTGGGGAGCTTTTGCTTACAGAAAGAGAGCTATTTTCCTGTGTTAGAAGAAGAGATGGCCCAGAAGAGAGCTGGGGCTTCGTGTGACCGCCGGGAGAGAGGTGAGTGAGGTTCGGCCGCCACCGACGAGGGTGTTGATTTGCAGAGACGAAGCTATTTTGGCTCAATGACCAAATGTTTAGGTTACAAAAATAACACATTTTTTCATCTATTAATTCATACTTTTAATTTTATAACTAAATATTTTGAAGGAATTTTTTATATATATATTTAAAATTATTAACAATTTTATACTTTAAATTTCAAATTTTATTTAAAATATAACCCATCTTAATTTAAATAAATATATATCGATAAAAATGTATAACCTTATTATTAATATTATAAATGACCTTAGACAGCTAAACTAAAATACTCCGGGTCAAATTTCAATACATGTCTAAATACGAGTTAAGAATTCAACGAACAAGTATTACTACATTAATAATCAACATCAATATAACTCGATAACCAAAACGTCTTAACTCGACATAACTCGATAGTTAAAACACCTTAATTCAACATACCCTGATAGTTAAAACGTCTCAACCCAATAGTTAAAACGCCTTAACTCAACAGAACTCGATCGCTAAAACGTCCCTACTAAAAGAAAAAAAAAAGAAATAACTAGGATATCTCATGAATCTGGCCTTAAAGAACTTATAAGCAAATCAGACAAATGTTGTTGGGCTCATGCAGTGTCTATCACTACTCACATAGAACATTGCTTTCTTCTGCTGACTGTAAGCTGATTGTAAGCTGTAACTAGAAAAATTTACACCACTCATCTTCCCATTGTCAATCCTAATGCACATAAACTAAGAGTACACATGAAAGAAAAGATGGTACTACTTGGTAACTACTGTGTTTTTCTCGCTCGAAACTCCGTTTTCAAGTTGGTTGTCAAAGCCATGGTAAGGTACATCGACCATGGGTTGGGGCAAAGGACGACCCTGAAAGTCCTCGGGAAAGGATTCGAAATCTGGGCCGAAGTTGAACTTGACTACACAATTTGGTTGATTAGGAAGAGTGTACATGGAGGCTGCAGGATAATAGCGACCTCCGTTCAGATCCGTGAATGCAACCCCTTGGCATACTCCGTTTTTGAAGAACGAAATCTCGCTTCCTGCATAATGAATGTCGGACACATCATGTAACTTCGTAAAGAAGAAAAGAGATTGGAAAATGTAAGGCAAAATGCAACAGATTTCTGGGGGATCTATATCGAGTTCCTGAATCTCGGTTCATCGCTATATAACCAACATGACAGTTGACTCATACTGTTCATAATCGTTGGTTGTTAAATGATAATAGATGTGAGCCAAAAGAACAGACAGTCTCCAACTCTGTACTAGAATGGACTGATTAGTGCTGAAATTAAAACAATTCAGGTAAAAGAAATGAATCTTCTTTCATACTAAGAAAATAGCCAAATGGGATAACCCCTCTACACCCTCTTAACCAAACGCCCACCTCACAGCCCTGCAGTTGTTTACTTACACGGCTTGTAATAGCCTAAGTCCACCGCTAGCAGATATTGTCCTCTTTAGGCTTTCCCTTCCAGACTTCCCCTTAAGGTTTTAAATGCATCTGCTAGAGAGAGGTTTCAACACCCTTATAAAAAATGTTTCGTTCCCCTCTCCAACCGATGTGGGATCTCGCAATCTACCCCCCTTCAAGGCCCAACGTCCTCGCTGGCACACCGCCCAATGTTTGGCTCATATACCATTTGTAACAACTCAAACTCATCGCTAGCAGATATTGGGCTTTCCCTTTCGGACTTCCCCTCAAGGTTTTAAAACGTGTCTACTAGGGAGAGGTTTTCACACCCTTACAAAGAATGCTTCGTTCCCCTCTCTAACCGATGTGGGATCTCACAATCCACCCCCTTCAGAGCCCAGCGTCCTTGTTGTTCCTCTCTCCAATTGATGTAGGATCACACAATTCAGCCCGAAAGGGAAACCCCAAAGAGGATAGTATCTACTTATGGTGAGTTTGGGTTGTTACATTGTTGTTCATGAGCTATCTCCTCTCGTCCTTCACTACCCTCTTGACCCACTTCTTTGAAGCATGGCTCGAGTTTTATCACGTACTAAACAAACACAACCAATCACAGACAATATAAACTAGAGAAAAAGAACCTTTCTCCTCAAATGCAACACCATACATAGTGCGCAAATTCGTTAAGAATCACCCAACTATGTTAGTGTCTGACGACTCACATTTAGATGGAAACACGACCAGATGCATAATCCTAGAGGAGCCTTAGTTTAAAATTAAAATGAATGTCACTAAAGTAGCAAGCAACTTCAAGTAAAATAACAATAATAACAAAAGCTATAATTTCATGATTGACCAATTGCAGCTCAAGAGCAGCCTACTTCCGGGGTAGAAATTGGCTGAAACCTCTGCTCTGCTCACGAGCCAGTGAGATCTTGTGTGAAATCCCACATCAGTTGGGGAGAAGAACGAAACACCCTTTATAAGGGTGTGAAAACCTCTCTCTAGCAAACGCGTTTTAAAAACCTTGAAGGGAAGACCGAAAGGAAAACCCAAAGAGGACAATATTTGCCAAGGGTGAGCCTGGGCTGTCACAAATGGTATCAAAGCCAGATACCGAGCAATGTGCAAGCAAGGAGACTGAGCCCCAAAGGGGGTAGACATGAGGCAATGTGTCAGCGCCCCACATGGAGAAAGGAACGAGTGTCAACAAGGACGCTAGGCCCCGAAGGGGGGTGAATTGTGAGATCCCACATCAGTTGGGGAGGAGAATGAACCACCCTTTACAAGAGTGTGGAAACCTCTCCCTAGCAGACGTGTTTTAAAAATCTTGAGGGGAAGCCCAAAAGAAAAAGCTCAAAGAAGACAACACGACTAGCTAACACTAGGAAGTCCTAAAACAGTCCAAATATTAAGAACCACAACACTTTGCCTAACTCCAACTATCGAATCGAAAATTGACAAGGAATTGGCATATCAGAAGCACAAGTTAAGAGGCAATGAACTATTATATAACAATCAGAATGCAGTTTCAATGTTTTCAATGGAGCTTGCATGAACACACAGCAGAACCTCAACAACTTCACTAATGAAAAATGAACATAAAATGCATCAGTTGTCAGCATTTAGTAAAGCAATCCAACATACCAGGAACTACTTTAGGCGGCTCCTCTTTCCCTTCAGGAGCACAAATGTACCTCTGCCCCTTATACCAAACAAAGTGTGGCGGCTTGGGCGCATATAAAGCCCCATCAGGCAAATTGATATAGAAACCAATGATATCACCTTCCTTATATCCCTCCTCTCCATATTTCTCCCTTAAAGCCTTATGCACCTTACTTCCATCAATATCTCTATACCCAAAGCTATTCCCGTCGTACCCGACCGGAGCCTGCAAGTCCCCTTTCTCCGTCGACCATCCGAGCCGAGTATGTCCAGTCTCCCCCAAGCTCACCACCTTGATTTCAAAATACCATGCCCCTTCCTCCACCCCTCTAGTGGCCCTCACCATTCTATACCCCTTTGTACTACCAGCACTCATTCTGTCATCACTCAATTCAACTTTCTCCGCCTTATAAACCTTTGACAAACATATTTGCATATCGGAATTGTCATCCCCTTTATCAGGGAACCTCGGAACTGGAGTGATCAAGACAGGATCCTCAGTTGGTGCATTGTGATTGTTATTAGCTTTGTTCTTCTTTTTCCCCTTCCGAGTCGACTTCGTGCCCCAAACATTATTGTTCTTCTTCTTCGATTTCTTCGGATTCAAAGCCGTTGCCGCCTGTGCAGCATTACCACTAGCCGAACCATTGTTCTTAGCAGTATCCGATTCAAGCAATGGCGATTTCTCCTCCTCCACAGGCTGGTTAAGCGAAGACAATTGCTTCCGCTTCTTCGTAGGTGGGTTTTCATCGTCGTCGTCGTCGTTCCCAGGTGACTTCGCTAATTTAGCCGATTTCTCAGTGTCATCAGAAGCCGGTTCCTCTTCGGAGATTTCTTCAGAAGCATCAGGTGGGTCTTGTCTGGCACCATCCTGGGGCTCTGTTGAGGAGCCGCTAACATTCGCATCCATTGGTGGTTCAGGAAGCTCCGGTGGGTCAATTTCAGCGGCGGGAACGGACTCGTCTTCTTCATCGTCTTCATCTCTGTAAGTGGAACGGAGGGAATCCATGAGAACAAGCTCCAGTAGGGTTTGAAAATTGGGCAGTAGTGTTGAAGAAGAAGAGTGATGCTGATTACATACGTGAACCTTGAGAATTTCAGTGGGAATTTGGAGGAACCATGAGAGAGTCCGATGGAGAAAGGATTTGGACTTGAGAGTCTGAACCAGATAGGGCTGAGGAACTGAAATGGACAAACTTTTGGGTACTTAGCTCAAGTCTCCCTCTCTTCGAAAATTCAAAATTATTCTAAAATGGTCTTAAAATATGGTTTTGATTTTTTTTTTTCATAAAATTTGTTAAAAATAAATAAATAAAGTGATGAATTACACGCGCTAAATTAATAAAAATACAGATGACTTACCCTAAAAAAATAATATTATTAGTTGCTAGCAGATATTGTCTAAACCATTAAAAAAATAAGAGCATCACTACTTAAACTGATAGCATATATTATCAGTTTCATCCCATTACATAATAAAAACCACAAAAAATAACAGTTATTACTGCTTAAACTCACTGATATTGTCAGCTTCAACTATTACATAATAAAACTGTTTGTTAGAAAAAGGTTTTCATACCCTTGTAATAAGTACTTTGTTCCACTCTTCAACCGATGTAGGATCTCACCGTTATTGAAAGAGCCAATCGAATATTGAAAATTGCAAGCAATAAATAGGAAAATGTTCGTATCTAGAAGATTGGATGAGCAATGAGGATTTTCGACAGACAGTAAAGGCATTCATAGCACGACAAGAATTGATCAATGAATATTCAATTCCCTAATGGTCCACGTTCTTCGAAGAAAAAATTTGTAAATAGATTGTGGTAATGAACTTTTTAGAAGAAGAAAAAGGAGGCGAGGAAATGTGGAAATAAAAAATGGTAGAGATTCGGAAGGAATTGAGAAACAATGTCCGATAAATCGAAGGGTTTCAATTCGAGTAAATGATTAGAAATGTTTATTTAATCTGCACGGGTTTGTTGTTAATGAGGTGGGATGTGAAATTCCATATTGGTTAGAGAGGGAACGAGGCATTCCTTACAAAAGTGTGAAAACTTCTCCACAGCAGATACGTTTTAAAATCATGAGATTGATGGTTTTAGGTAAGAGTCCAAAACGGACAATATCTATTAGCGGTTAGTTTGGTCTATTACAAATGAGGCAATGTACGGGCCAATAAAAGGCCAAATTGGACAATATCTATTGAAAAAGACGGTTTTTCGTTTGTTTTAACAACTTTGTAATTATGGATCGGTTTTTTTTAATATAAAAATAAACTAAAGAAGAAATTATAGATAATGGAAATCCAATGTTTAAATTTTAAAAAATAAAATTTTCATAATCATCGAGAGTGTCGTGTTTGAGCTTCCAACTTAAGCAACGTTTAAGACAATTGTCAACCAAGCATGAATTCAACAAGACTATCAAAATCGACTGGAGTACACATGCTACTGAGGCAATACTAGGTTTTGAATATCGAAAATGGTAGGGCAACACATGTCATTCTGTAACGACTCGTTCCCAAGATTCGAAATTTGGATTGATATCAGATAGCACTGACATTTCCATACATCCCTTGTAGTATTATCATGTTACTTAGTTTCCGTTTCTAAGAGGGAAGATTATCCCCACAGACCCGTATAAGTTCTTCCAACATATTTTGTCATCACTCATATAAATTTTAGGAAATTTTTCGAGAAGTCGCTTAACTATGAAGTTCATATTATTGAGCTATCAAAAAGGAAGGTACACCTCGATGGTATAAGAAGTAACTTTCATTTTTTTAAACATTTTTTAATCATCCTATCCTAAAATCCGCTTTCGGATGTGGTATCAGTTATTTCTGTACCCATTCGTGTGGAAAAATAGTGAACTAATCATTTTTAAAGCCTACACGATGTCATCAAAGATCTCACATCGATTGGAGAGGAGAACGGAGCATTTCTTATAAGGGTGTGAAACTCTCTCCCTAGCATACGTGTTCTAAAACACTAAAGTTGACAACGATACGAAACGAGCCAAAATGGATAATATCTGCTAGCGGTGGGCTTGAGCTATTACAAATGATATTAGAGTTAGACACCGAACAGTGTGCCAGCAAGGACGCTGAGTCTATAAAGAGGGTGGATTGTGAGATCCCACATCGGTTGAAGAGAGAAATGAATAAGTTCAAATAAGGGTATGAAAACCTTTACTTAATAGACGGGTTTTAAAATCGTGAGACTAACAACGATAAGTAACGAACTAAAACGGACAATATTTGTTAGTAGTAGCCCTGAACTATTACAATTTAACATTTAAACATGTACGCGATTTTATTTGTAGGTCAGTACCTCGATCAATTTAGACTCAACGATACGTAACGAGCTAAAACGGACATTATCTGCTAGTAGTGGTCTTGAACTGTTACAATTTAACATTTGATCAGGTACCTCGATCAATTTAGACTCGGTACTTTTTAAACAAAAAAGGATAAATAAAAGTTGAACAAAGTGAGTTCTTCAAATACTTTCATTCCGCATTTTACAAACTCATAGGGGTATTATCGTCATTTCATCTATGTAGTTGGTTGGTTACACAAACTTCAGTTTCCCATAGCGCCCTTTCTTCTCTTCTTCTTCTAGCTCGTCTCAATTGCCACGCGTTCTTCCATGGCCCAATCACCTCGCTTCCTCTCTCTCTCTCTCTAGCTTCTGTAAACTTCTTTCCCTCTCTCTTAATGTTCTTCTGGATCAGGTGGGTGTTCCCTAAATTCATCTGAAATTTCACATTTCAATCGAATGCTCCCCCTGCCGCCGCTGCCGCTGCCGCCAATTTCAAGCGGTTGCGGTTGTGGGAGAGCTTAACGAGCGGGTTGGGATTGGGATTTATTCTTCCTTCTTCTTTTCCCTCTGTACGCACCCATGTCTCCCGTCAAGTTAATTTCTTCTGTAATCTCTCTCTCCCTCTCTCCATTTACCGTTCTTGTTGTTCTTGTTCTTATGATCTTGATTTATGAATCCACCCCATCTCTCGTTTGGGGTTTTTGATCTGTTGATTATGTTTTCTGGGATTTTTGGCGGTTCTTGTGTTAGTTGAGGATGTGATGCACTGTTTGATTCCTTTACCATTTGGGGTATCTTTAGGTTCAATATTCATGCTATGCTCCTGGAAAATCGTGTTAAGCGTTGATTAATTGGATATTATGGAGAATTTGGAATCGGTCTGTTTGAACAGTGGAGGAACTTTCTCTGTTTCTTAATTGTTTAGAGTGTTTCTCGTGTTATTTAGTTTTTATTTGGCCAACTAAACTGCTGTTGATACAGGGAGAAGGAAACTTTTCTAGCACAATGGCGGAGAACGGTTTTCCGAATGCAACTTCCCTGTTGAACTCTGAGAAGGCGGTCCAGGAGCTTCTTCAACGGTCGCCATTAATGGAGACTGATGAGCATCTTATTGAGTTTTCAGAGGCTTTGAGAAGTATGTGTATCACAGTTTTGTTTCATATATTTTACTGATTCATTTGTGTTTGCTATTGAATATGAGTTGGTTAAGATATGCTGCTTATATTATTTCTTTAATCTTTAGCTGTTGCAAAAGCATTAAGAAGGGCAGCTGAAGGAAAGGCTGCTGCACAAGCTGAGGCGGCTGAATGGAAGCGCAAATTTGAACTGGAGAGGACAAGGAATCTTCAACTTGAACATAAAGGTTTTTCTTATAGAATTTGTTGTGTTATTTGGAATGTATTTGTTGATGTTTTCTTGCTTAGTGTTTAGAAAGTATCTGTAATGGCCAAGCCCACTGTTAGTAGATATTGTCTTTAGCCTTTCGGGCTTCCTATTAAAGTTTTTAAAATGCGTCTGCTAAGAAAAGGTTTCCACGCTTTTCCTTTTGGGTTTCCCCTTAAGATTTTTAAAATGCGTCTACTAAGGAGAGGTTTCCACACCCTTGTAAAGAAGGTTTTTAAAACGTGTTTGCTAAGGAGAGGTTTCTACACCCTTATAAAGAAGGTTTTTAAAACACGTTTGCTAAGGAGAGGTTTCCACACCCTTATAAAGAAGGTTTTTAAAATGCGTTTGCTAAGGAGAGGTTTCCACACCCTTATAAAGAAGGTTTTTAAAACGCGTTTGCTAAGGAGAGGTTTCCACACCCTTATAAAGAAGGTTTTTAAAACGTGTCTGCTAAGGAGAGGTTTCCACCCTTATAAAAAATGCTTTGTTCTTCTCCTCAACCGATGTGGGATCTCATAATCCACCCCCCTTCGAGGCCCAGCATCCTCGTTGGCACTCGTTCCCTTCTCCAATCGATGTGGGACCCCCCAATCCACCCCCCTTCGGGGCCTAGCGTCCTTGCGGCATACCCCCTCGTGTCCACTTCTCCCCAACTGATGTGGGATCTCATATTCTACCCCCCTTCAGGGCCCAACGTCCTCGCTGGCACTCATTCCCTTTTCTAATCGATGTGGGACCTCCAAACCACCCCCTTCGGGGCCCAACGTCCTTGTTGGCACACCGCCTCGTGTCCATCTCCTTCGGGGTTCAGCCTCATTGTTGTCACATCGCTCGGTGTCTGGCTCTGATACCATTTGTAATGGCCAAGTCTACTGCTAGCAGATATTGTTTTCTTTGGGTTTTCCCTTTCGGGCTTCCCCTCAAGGTTTTTAAAATGCGTCTACTAGGGAGAGGTTTCCACACCCTTATAAAGAATGCTTCGTTCTCCTCTCCAACCAATGTGGGATCTCACAGTACCAATATAATGCTTATAAATGCCTTATATGTTTTAAGGTGCAGATCTTTTATATTTCGTTCAAGAAAGCTGGATGAACTTCATCCCAGTTTTCTTCAGTTTGATGTCAAAATGGTTTTTGTTTCAGTTTGTGGTGAAGTAGAACCCATTTCTTTCAAATTTAAGAGGTTCTTGACTCATTGGACATTTCACCTTTAATTAAATAAATTCTCTCCAATTTCTATCCAACTAATGACATTAACTTTCGTCAAATGAACATTGCTTCCTTTTCCCAAAGATATGACTTTTGGGCAAAGTAGGTAAGATTTCATTTTTAGAAATAGTGTTTGATTGAAAGTAACTTTTTACCTTACTTTAAATTCAATATGACATCACTAATGTTCAAATCAAAATGTAATTTGGAGAAATGTCATTCAAATTTCACATAGAACATGTGCAAAAGGCATATTAACTGTACTGTGTGTAAATTATTAAAAGTAGAGCCCTTTTTTGGTGTTCTTTTCCTTAAAACTACTTATACTTGTGCATTATAGGGCAGCCACCTGCAGAACGCAACGGTTATGATAGTAAGAGATCAAACAATCTAACCCCACAAGCCACCGAGCAATCAGACTGGTGTTGTGGATCAAATGGAATATGTTCTCATGAAGTTCTTCAAGATGGGGACGTCGATTCTGTTTCTCAAAAGGGGTCCGGAAAATATACTCGAAAGGTATTTGAGTATCTGCTTACCTGTTCTTATCATTGTTATTTTTTGAGTCATGCATGTCTCTGCTGCTTCTTTCTGGTTATAGAGATGGCTTTGATATTTCATTAGTTATTTTTATTGCCAAATTTCCATTAAGAAGATGAAGAAACTAATTACATATTTCTACAATTGTTAATCCCATATGAGTTTGCAATTACAGGCACCATTTGAACTTTCATGGGGCTGCGATGGCGAGCATAGTGATCGACACAAGCACGATGTTGTCTCCTTTGAAAAAGGAAACATAACAACTGCAGAGCGTAGCAGTAGACAGGTTTGATTCTACTGAACATAGATCGACACATTGTGATGGCTTTCACAAATTACATGTCAATAACATAGAATTCTTAGTTTGTTCGTTTTTTTATTTTTTTAATCTCTACCTAATATTTTATTTGATTTTCGGATTATTTCAACCAAGTCCACTCTTGATAGAACATTTTCATTGCAGATCTTTTTGAAGTGGGAATCGCAACCTCAGACTGTGCTTATATTGACCAAACCAAACTCAGTATCAGTTCGAATTCTTTGTTTTGAGATGATCAGGTGTGTATGCCTCTTTTTTAGTAGCTAAATCAGTTTTTCTAATTCTTTTCATTTTATGGGAGCAAATAAGTAAAAATCATCATGCATTTCAAGGATAAGTATGGAAGTAATGATGTTGAATAACAAAAATATTCATCCTTTTCAAGGAAAAGTATGGAAAAAGTTTCGTTAAATAATGAAAACCGGGACACCGGGAATGTTTGATCCCTTTTTTGCCTAGATCAAAGTTTTTATGCGTCATAACATGTGAGATCCCACATCGGTTGGGGAGGAGAACGAATCATTCTTTATAAGAGTGTGGATACCTCTCCCTCGCAAACGTATTTTAAGAACCTTGAGGGGAAGCCCAAAGAGGACAATTTCTGCTAGCGGTGGGCTTGGGCCATTATAAATGGTATCTCAGAGTTAGACACCGAGCGATGTGCCAGCGAGGAGGCTGAGCCCCGAAGGGGGATGGACAGAAGGCGGTGTGCCAGCAAGGACACTGGGTCCCTAAGGGGAGTGGATTGGGTGGTCCCACATCGATTGTGTGCCACAAGGACGCTGGGTCCCAAAAGAGGTGGATTGAGTGGTCCCACATCGATTAGAGAAGGAAATGAGTGCCAACAAAGACACTGGGCCCCGATGGGGGTGGATTGTGAGATCCCACATTGGCCTCTCCCCAGCAGACACGTTTTAAGAACCTTGAGGGGAAGCCCGAAAGGGAAAGCTCAAAGAGGACAATATCTGTTAACGACGGGCTTGGACTCTTACATAACAAGAGTATCAAATTAATGCAAAAATAATGCTATATTTTCCTTATTCCCATTTTCTATTCCTCCTAGATGGTTGAGAGAGCATAAAGGTCTTCACATTTACGTTGAACCACGCGTCAAAAATGAGCTTCTGACAGAGTCAGACTACTATGATTTTGTCCGGACATGGAAAGATGGTGAGTATGAAACGTTGCTATTACTTTATAGACTTAATGTAAACTTATTATTCTGACTACATCTGTCAATTAGTTTGCGATGTTCATTTAATCAAGGATGGCCTCGAGTTCATATTTGAGCTATGATTTTTATGGCAACCATTTATGGTTTTTGCAACTACTTATTTAATGGCATCGTTGTTCACTCGATTGACCCCTCTTTTCTATCTCTCGACAGACGAGGAAATTTTGCTTCTGCACACGAAAGTTGATCTTGTGGTTACTCTTGGTGGAGATGGAACAGTGCTCTGGGTATGCTGAACAATTTCATTTTCAGGAGTATCTTCTTATTGTTATAGACATTATAACTTGCATTCAATTTTCATGACTGCCTGTCAAGTTTATTAGGACATGGTTGGAACAAATCTGTTCAAGTAAGGTCATGTCTACATATCAAGATGTTTATTAACAACCATGAACTGATGCTTTCATTAGCCATCTTTGTCTAATATAAACATTTAAGTGTATCGTGTAACGTCCCAAGCCCACCGCTAGTAGATATTGTCCTCTTTGGGCTTTCCCTTTCGAGCTTCCCCTCAAAGTTTTTAAAACGTGTCGGCTAGGAAGAGGTTTTCACACCCTTGTAAAGAATGCTTCGTTTTCCTCCCCAACTGACGTGGGATCTCACAATCCACCCCCCTTCGAGACCCATTGTCCTCGTTGACACTCGTTCCCTTCTCCAATCGATATAGGACCCCCCAAATCCATCCCCTTCGGGGCCTAGCGTCCCTACTAGCACACTGCCTCGTGTCCACCCCCTTTGGGGCTTAGCCTCCTTATTGGCACATCGCCCATTGTCTGGCTCTGATACCATTTGTAACAGCCCAAGCCCACCGCTAGCAGATATTGTTTTTTTTGGGCTTGCCCTTTTGGGCCTCCCTTCAACGTTTTAAAATGCATTTGCTAGAGAGAGGTTTCCACACTCTTATAAAGAATGCTTCGTTATACTTCCCAACCAATGTGGATTCTCACATACCGCCTTACATATTTGACTGGGAAGGATGTTATCCCTTGTTTCTAAACACCCCGAAAGATCTTTCTTAATGAATTGATTGAATATTTTGCACTTTAATCCGTGTGCCTACCAAAAAAGAGGAGTACAGTTAGCTTGTCAAGTCTTGCTACTTTTGTTGTTAACTATGCCCTTAACAATTAATGACATTTAGTGTTTTTGTTAGTAAGAATCATGACTTCCTTATTAGATGATTTTATGACTTCTTGAGTTTTATACTTCGAAATATCTTTTCTGGATTAATTTGGCACTTGATTGCAGGCAGCATCAATGTTTAAAGGACCAGTTCCTCCTCTTGTTCCATTTTCTTTAGGGTCTCTGGGTTTTATGACTCCTTTTCGTATCCTTTGGTTCTGAGGAAGTATTATTTACCATAGAAATTAATTTATTGTTACGAACCGGAATGGAATTGATTTGCTTCCCAAAGACCTGTATGATAGTTTCTTTTATGTTTAAAAGTTATTCTTAAAGTAACATATTACACCATGACGTTTATTTTCGTTCATTGCTGAAAAGTTTCTTTAGCACGCTCCAGACAGTGAGCATTACAGAGAATGTTTGGATTCAGTTCTAAAGGGTCCAATTAGTATCACATTGCGACACCGACTGCAGTGCCATGTTATTCGAGATGCAGCAAGAAATGAATATGAAACGGAAGAACCGATACTCGTGCTGAATGAGGTTACAATTGATCGTGGAATGTCGTCATACCTTACGAATCTGGAATGTTATTGTGACCGTTCCTTTGTAACTTGTGTCCAAGGGGATGGTCTGATTCTTTCAACTACTTCGGGCAGCACAGCGTACTCATTGGCTGCTGGAGGATCGATGGTTCATCCTCAGGTATGTTCCTTTGGTTGACTGGTTTTCAGATAGTAGTTTTATCATGGTCCGTGCGACATTTCTTAAAAGCTACTGCGACATTCACAGGTTCCCGGCATTCTATTTACTCCGATATGCCCGCACTCCTTGTCTTTTCGGCCCTTGATATTTCCCGAATACGTAACGATACGCATACAAGTACCTTTCAATAGCAAGGGGCATGCATGGGCATCTTTTGATGGAAAGGGCAGGAAGGAATTGGGTGCAGGAGATGCACTTGTATGCAGCATGGCACCTTGGCCAGTGCCTACAGCGTGCCAGGTCGACTCGACAAACGACTTCTTGCACAGCATTCATGATGGCCTTCACTGGAATTTAAGAAAGAAGCAGTCTTCCGATGGACCTCGAGACACATGAACGGATCAGGTAGCTTCTTTAACTCCTCGATAGGACGCAGTTGATCTGCTGCAACATATCCTGATTCTGCCTCAAAAACGAATAGATGTAGTAGAGGGGAAAAAGGAGAAATAAAATCACTGAATAACAGTAGTTTTCTTCCATAGTATTTATGGTTTAAGCTCAAGGCTCAAGCTGATGTGAGCCCATATCCTAATAAGTTGCATTATAGAATCAGTGCTGACAAGTTTTTGAATAGTAAGGAATAGCTCATTTTAATCTTACTATGTTCTTAGTATGTATGATTAGAATGTCTAGACAGGCATGGTCCAAAGTAAATTAACACAAGTGAAGCTTGGGGAGCTGTCTCTAAGAAATGTTTTGATATGATTGCTTTGTGTCGTGGTCATGCTTGTTCAAGGCATGTTGCATGTGGCTGCGTGTCGGATGTTTGATTATACTTGTTTAGGGCATATTGTCATGACTGCATGTCCATTCCAAACCCCTTTTTACTTGCTTACAATTTCATGTTTGTTAGGTTTTTACTATTCTTCTTATGTCGGGGTGTATTAACCGTTCACCAAAATCTTGTTTATACCCACCATGGTTAAAATGCCCTAAAATGTACTATACAGGGGAATGCGATTAGTTATCAATTATTTTTGTCCGAGTTATACGCTATTATATTCGTTGTTGTTGCTTATTTATTTTTTTTTAACTTAAAACATTGCTTTCTTTCAAATTGTTTTCAACTAATTTCCTTGTTCACATTTTTTTCCTCTCAAACATGACTCAAGATTCGATCATATATCAAAATTGTCTGCAAATCTCGATTTTCATTTTCACACGACTGACTTATTTGTTGTGTTAGAATAAGTGCCACACAATTGTAGGCCTATTACCATAAAAGTGCAATTGTGACACTTTGCACAGTCCTAATGCATATAACGACCATACTTCATTAGATAGAGTGTCACTCAATCATCTTAAAGATTGATGATTAGATCTTCTACTTCAGTCAATGAGTACTTATTGATCAAGAGAATTGAATCGAGGATGAAATATTATCGGTTACTCATAAATCTAAAATCTATACCTACATCATATTATCGGAACAAAAGAATGACTACAAATATTATGGCTCAGACTATGTTATACCATATTGTTCTTCGAGAGTGATTCATTTACGTAACCCTCATTCACTTGATACGAGACTAAATAGGTATAAATTCAAATTATTTGAATTATTGATGGTAGAGAGAGAAAACTAAAAGAAAAAAAATCCATTTTCAACTTGTGGACGAAGTTTTGTAGAAAGAAAAAATTAATAAAGAAATACAGTGTTTGATTTGAAGGATCTTTCCACGAACTTATTCTCATTGAAAAAATTAATAAAGAAATACATAATTGAACCCCATATCATCGTGCTGATGTATATAACTTTGGATTTTAATGAAATCTTATATTGTTTGTCGGGTGTTTGATTCTAATACCATTTTTCATCTTTTAAGGGTCCAGCGTCTTCATTGGCACACAACCCGGTGTTTGGCTCTAATACCATTTGTCACCTTCGAGGGGCCCAGTAAACTCGTTGACACAATATCTGGTATCTGATTCTAATACCATTTGTAATAGTCAAAGTCAATCGCTAGCATATACTACCCATTTTGGCTCATTACGTACCGCCGTCAGCCTAACAATTTTAAAACACGTCTACTAGAAAGAGATTTTCACACCCTTAAAAGAGAATGTTTTGGTGGGATCTCACGTATGATTAATATTCATCGAAATTGAAATAGAGTAAGAACATTCTAGATTGGATCACATATTTAGGTTATTATCATCGCTATTATCCAATCCAAGAACCCTATAAAGCCTTTCCTTTTTCCATGAAATAGACAACTCCACCAATCAAATATCAAACCTTCCTCCACAAGTTCATATCACAGTACAATTTTTAAAGTCCTCTCTCAACCCTCAATCATTCACACACTCCTATAAAGCTACCTTCATCTTAATTCATCAAACAATCACATTCCAACAAACATTCCCAAAAAAAAAAATGTCACTCTTTTTCAGGTCATGCAGCTCCAAATTCATCGACGATCATTCGTTAGAAGACGAAGAATACATCGAAAAAGGCAACAACTTAGTGAAATGGACGATGCCAAAAGTTCCAATCCACAAACTCTACGAACATCAAACAACAAAAAAACGCTTCACGTTTTCTTCTAAGATCAATCCTTCTATCAGAATCACCGAGGGTCAAATCAGCTTCGGAAATGGTGGAGGAAGCTTCAAATTGTATAAACAAGCTCCTTCAAGCTATGGTCAGAAGGGAAAATTCTTTAGCGTTATGAACATAGGACTTGTTCAAATTGGTGTCAAAACCATTACAAGAAAAATCCCTTCAAACGCTTCTATAATTTTATGTGTTCGTGATAATAGAGTTGAAAAAGTTGAAGATTCAATCATAGCTATGGTTGAATCCAAATTAGGAGATGGCCCACTTTACTTTAATGTTTTTCCAAACATGAATTTTTCTTTGTTTGATGCTTCATTGATCATGAATGTTTTGAGTGTTCATGTTTTGGTCAAAGGGTTTGATCAGCTGGCAGAAGGGAGTGAGCCAATTGTGGTGTCATGTAGAACATGTTACAAGTTGAATCAAACCAAGTTTGGACCAGAGGCTTTGCTTGAGAGTCCTGTTGGGAAAACTGTGTTTTTTCAGACACAGATTGTTGGGAAGTTGAATGGTGGTGGTGGTGATGTTGTTCAGAAGGTGACTCAATGGGATCAAGTTCAGTTGCCTTCTAATTGGCCTCCTCAGCTGCATATACCCAGGTTTCCTAATGCGTTCAAGCGACTTAGTGATTGAATGTCTTGTCTAGTGTGTAACGAGGAAGGTTGTCTTGTTTTTATAAGGTTGTTCTTGTTTTGTTTGTGTTTTTGGGTTATTTTTGTGTTGTATGTGTGTTTTTAAGATGACTTTGTATAGAAAAAGGGTAATAATGTCTTTTTTTTATTAATGTATTGTCGGTGAGTAATAGTTCAATGATAACTCATATATATTCAGTAATTTGAGTTCAACTTCATTTAAATTTACAGAGACACCCTCAAGTTTTCGGGTAATGGATTCTCGAAGATGATTACCTCTAGTACCTAGCTTTCTCACCTTTTGTGGACGAAGTTTACGGAGAAACCCTTAAGTTTTTGCAACATTTGATTCTCCAAGAAGATTACCTCAAACATTTAGATTTCTCACTCTCTATGGACGAATCTTACAGAGAAACTCTCAATTTTTCAAGACAATAAATTTTCGATGATAATTACCTCTAACACCTAGCTTTCTCATCCTCTATGGACGAACCTTACAAAGAAATCCTTAAGTTTTCGGGACATTTGATTATCAAAGAAGATTACCTCTAACATCTAGCGTTCTCACCTTCTATGGACGAACTTTACAAAGAAACTCTTAAGTTTTCAAAGTAATGGATTCTCGAAGATGATTACCTCTAGCATCTAGCTTTTTCACTCTCTATAGACGAATCTTACAGATAAACCCTTAAAAGTTTCGGGACATTGGATTCTCAAACGTTTTTTTTTTTTTTTTAAAAAAAATACTAACGTGTTTACTTGAAATCATTCTATTTTTAAGTTTATTCCATCTAAGCCCATCCATTGCCTATAATATCATCATTGGAAGTGGCCATTGAATTCAAAGTGGGTAGGTTCTTGAAAATTCATACCATCTTTTTACACTAATCTCAAGAAAAAGGAACAAAAATGTAAAGCAAAAAGCTAAAAAGAGATTCTTTTTGTGACATTTCTTTAATACATTGTCCACTTGTTATTATTATTCTACACGACCATGATTGACCAAATAGTAAAATAAGGCATGGGTCCTATGCCAACCCTTCATCCACACGGTCGTCGTCCGACCAATAAAAGAGATTAAAAATAGGATCACGGTTGCTCATAGATACTACGATTTTTTTTTTTGATCTATACTTTCTTGTCTTATTACCTGTATTTTCTTATTTTCTGAAGGACGTTGAACGTCCATAATGTATTTAAACAGATTTAAAATTTGAATTAAAGAAAAGTTCCGAGACACAATTGAAGTTAGTCTTTTAAAAAGATACTCACATTTCTTCTCTTTGATTGATTTAATCTTCTTTGAGCGAATAATTTTTTTTTGATTTAATCATTTACTTCTTGAACTTTAATATATAACAATTTTAGTTCTTACCGTAATAACGATTTAATATTTATAGTTTATAAACAAATTTAACCGATAATCGATTTATGCTACTTGAGTAAAAAATTTGTTAAATCTTAATAATATTTTATGAGATAAGGACTAAATGGTAAAGTATAGAAACTAAATCGTTACATATCGTAAAGTATGACTAAATTGTTAATAATATATACAATCATAATACTTTGGATCAAGTATATTTTTAACAGGATGCCGAGTTGGTCCGACCGATACGGTGGCCGATTTTCGGAGAGCTGAATTTCATCTTACATGGTAACTCTCTTTGATCCAAAATACTCTTATTTGAACTCTCAAAATCAGCCTGGAAAAAGACAGTGTTTCCATGTGGAGTGTTCTTGATTAAACCAATGTTCTAGGGACATGACGGAGGAACTCGAAGTCTCTAACTTTAGCATTCAAGATCAACATGTCATCAAGCTAAGGGCCAGGTAGAGACTCTAGAATGTTATGAAAGACATTTTAGTAAAAATGGGTCATTTCGAGATGAGACTCAAATAAGATGGAAGAAATTCAACAATAGAAGACAGTGGAGCAAACTACACATATTTGGGACAAGTGTTGACGTATCTAAACATTCAAGTGATATTGATGTTGGTGAGAAAGAAGTGACTCAACCGATCGAATCCAATGAAAAAGAAACGGCACCTCAACAACTTACACAATTAGAAAGCCAAATATAAAGTATGCCAACACAATGATTATAATGTGAAGAAACATCACAAAACGTCTATTAAACTCATTTCTTGAGAGTGAGTTTACAAAACATCTTGTCATGTGGTTGATTTGAAACATCAACTTCTCCGACCATTTTTGTAATAGGGATTATGTGTTGATCAAATATGTTAGGATTGGAGAGGAATAGTACCAAAAAAAAGAGGGTTAATTGCAAATAAGGGTGTTCGTTTGTTGAGTTGTTCGAGTTGTAAATTTTTTAACTCAAATCGTCTGCTGAGTTATTCTTATTGAGCTTTAGGACCCAAACATTACTTAGATATCAACAGTGTCATTTCAACTGACCAGCTACACAGATGAGATCACAAGAGAAGGTGGTAGAAAGGTAAATTTATTAGAAGCAACCTTAAAATAAGATACAAAATCCAAGAAAACGGTAAATACAAAGCTCAAGCAGACAAACAGTATTCATTCATGCTGTTACAAAACAGTAACAAGCCCAAGCATAGAATCAGACTACTAAACTAATTCATCCTTTCAACATCTCAGCTTCTAAGGCGACAAAATTTAAAGTCTCTTACCAAATCATTTGTGAGCAGCCACATAGTTGCGAATGATTTCCATTGCTAGTTGATGAGCATTCTTATTCTGAACTCTTGCGAGGTCGTCCATCGCCTCGTACGTATCTTTATCAGCAAAAAGCCTCAGGTTGTAATGCGTTGGTGCAGGCACAGAACCGTCCCATTTTTCAACCAGGTCTTTAAGCTTCTCAAATCCCTGAGAATTAATCAAAATGACCACAGTTTATCATTTGAAGTAAGGTTCAAATATGTCTGTTCGAAATTCTAGACGATTTACGACACTCACCAAGCGGTTTGTGAAGTCGCCAAATGATTCTTTAGAGTATCTTTTTCGCTTCCAATGATAAAATAAAGGCTCCAAGACCTTTTCGAGGTCGTGGATCTTAACCTTATCCATAAAAGTCCTTGCCAATGAAGTTTGATTGGGTTTTCCCCCAAGCCATATCTGTTAAGAGATGAACATACATATAAATGAAGTAGCACAGAAGTTTCCACTTACGAGAGTTGTAAACCCTTGCTATTCATAATACCTGGTAGCTGTTAGCACCATCACCTACTAATCCAAGCTCAGCCATATAAGGCCTGGCACAACCATTCGGGCATCCAGTAATCCTTATGACAACAGACTCGCTGTACTCAAGACCGACCTGGAAACAGGACAAACAAACCCATCACTGCCTGAATTCTCGAGCAACTTATGTTTCAGCTAAATATATATATAGTCGCTAAAGATCGGAAATCTTTTCGATTCAGTCCCTATTGTTCAGAAATTTTCAATTTAGACCCAGACGTGCGGCTTCCATCCCTACGGACGCGTGGCCCTGTACACACTTGACACGTAACTCATTTAGATTTGGTTTCTTCATAGAAGTTGTAGTTTATATTCATCTACACGCAGATACTTTTCTTGTAATCTATTTCTAAGTATAGGCAGATATAACAGAGTCCAAAATTAGCCAAAAGTTTAACACTCACGGATCTTGCACCTAAGTGTGCAAACATGTAATTGTGGTTGCCCACAATGATATACCTTTTCAAATATAGCTCGAACACGCTTAAGGATGTCTGGAATTCCTCTCTCAGCTTCTGTTATTGCCAAAGGGCAAAGTGGAAAAGCCGGACATGCCATTGCAGTTATGTTAAGGGGATCTACATACCTTGGGTTCTGTACAGCATAATCAGCCAAAAGAGTACAAAAGTAATCAGTACAAAAGAACTAAAAAAATGCTCCACATAATAAAGGGGAAAACAACTTCAAAATTCCAACTTTAATGTTAATAAACCAAAAATCTATATCCGTCCTAGCATCAGCAACTCAGCATCAACTATGCATATTCCAACCCAGAAATTACAGATCCTAACCACTAGATGTCTTATAAACACAAGCAACTTTCAATAACACAAAAGCTCTATTTTTGCAACTGAAAAGCTAAAACTACTGAATTCTAGGAATGCCAATCGAGATGTTCGATGCTAAGTTGAAACATTTAAGTTTATATTTGAAGAGAGAACTTAATCACCGAGCAGTCCCAAAGAAGAGTAGTTTACCAGCAGACCACCTTGCGCAAGAGCTGTGGCAATGGGCCGCTTCCATGCATTGCGAATGTTGGTCAAGATAATGTTTTGATGTGGGGTGATCCGAACATCCAAATTATATTTCTCTATCACCTCTCTCAATGTCTTCTTCATTTTCCCAGCAATACGACCGCTATCAACATGTAGTCCACAATATAAGTTACCATCACCCTGAAAAGTATATAACATTCTAAGACAAGGTGTACAAAAAACGTTGAAGTTTAAGGGTGAATGCTGCAGCCTGAAACGATAGATGACATGAGGCTCCGCCTCAGCAGTTAAAAGAAACAACAATTCAAATATCAGAGATAACGAACTTTCATACTAACCTGCTCGTGCCACCCCAAGTAACTTTCAAACTTCCACTCTGGTAATTCCCGGAATGGTTCGAATTTTTTCCCATAATATTGCTCTACAACACTCCTAAATTTTTCAATCCCCCAGGAACTGATCAAATATTTTAGTCTACTATATTTGCGATCATCTCTTCTGCCATTTTCACGTTGTGCGACAACAATAGCTTTAACTGCATATAAAATATCTTCCTTGGGAACATATCCTAATGGCTCTCCCAAACGAGCAAATGTGGATTCTAATCTATGAGTTCTTCCCATGCCTCCTCCAACCTGCAGAATAAATTATTAAGCAAAAAACATAAAAAAATATCTTAATTATTAAGCAAAAAACATCAAAAATATCTTATCTCTATTAAGTAATGAATCCACTTACATATATGTTGAATCCTTGAGGCTCCCCCTCAGCATCAGAAATGACAACAACGCCAAGATCGTTTGTGAGAATGTCTACAGAGTTATCGGTTGGCACTGTCACAGCAATTTTAAATTTTCGAGGGAGGAATTGAGTTCCATAAATAGGCTCGGGAGAATCCGGAAAATTTGTTCCATGAGAATTGTCATTACGAGCCTTCACCACTTCTGGAGGTTCTGCCGACATGAACCGCTCCCCGTCTACCCACATATCATAATAAAATCCTGATTGCGGAGTTAACAAAGCAGCAATGTCTTCTGCAGTTTGCTGTGCAAAAAGGTAATCTTTCCTCATAATTGGAGCAGCTGGAGCAAGAACATTCCTGTTCAAATCACCACAAGCACCAAGAGTTGAACCCATGCTTCTAATAATGGTGCTCATAACTGTCTTCATATCCTTCTTGAGAACTCCATGTAGCTGAAATGTTTGCCTTGTGGTTAAACGAAGCGTTCCAATTCCAAATTGATCAGCAAGATCATCCATCGTCAAGTACAGCTGGTTTGACACTTTCCCACAAGGATTCTTCGTACGAAGCATGAATGAATAAGACCGCTGTCGACGCTCTTCTCTGTTATACTGCTGATAGCTCCCATGAAATTTGATCAATTGTGTTGCAGCCTCGTTTAAATTAGGAGCAGCCGTCAACAACTCCTCATTAAGAGGATATCTTATAAAATTACTTTGTTCTTTAAAAATTTCGACCTTACTACGCTTAGGCTCAGCTGCAACCCCTGGCTTTGCCGGCTGCAAATTAAGCCATAAAGTTTATAGAATAAGAACCTAGTTCAGTAAAAATTCACCTTATTAATCCAAAACTTAACTCCAGATAACAAAAACACATGCAGCAATAACATTAATTACAGCCTTCATGTTATTCCGTGGGATGGATTAACAACAGAGACAAATGAAAGAAAAATCCAAAAGAAAACTTTTAGTAGCCAACAAAATCAGAAGAGAATATATTCGATTACAAATGAACAATGATCGTAACAAATAAAACAAATCTTTCAACACCATGCTGCGATTACTAATGAACTTCAAAGAATCACATTCTATTAGAACAATTACAACGATCCAGCGCAGTAGCAACCTCAGAGGGTGAAAATCCAGAAACAGATTGAAATGATGAAATAGAAAACAAAGAAAAGGGACATGGATTGTACCGTGGAGATGGCTCGAACGAGCAGAGGGCTGGAAGAGTTGGAGGAAGAAGGGAAAGCAGGCAAGGGGAAGAAGCGGACATTTCTGGCCAAAGCAAGGGAGGTAGTGGATTTAAGGCCATGGAAGGTCGGAATCTGAACCGTCGGGTCGGTGAACGCGGCGGCGCTCGAGGCGGCTAACGACGTGGTGGTCATCGGAGGAGAGGTAAGGGATGTGGGAAATTGGAGAAATTTGCAGAGTGAGTGAAGAAGACGAAAACGAAATTCTCTGCTTCTTTTTGTTTTGTTTTGTTTTTTTTTTTTTTTTTTTTTTTA